GCTTCTATCTTTATCAAAATAATTGCTAATATAAAATTTACATGTTATATCAATACCAGATTTTCATAAAGTCCCATGTGGCTCAGGCTGGACTGGGACTAACTACATAGCTAAGATAGACCTGGTACCTTCGATATGATCCCCTCCATTTCTCAAATGCTGAGATCACAGGTATATGCCACCAACCAATTGAATACAAACACTAATCAGCAGGATTAGAAAGTTGTTTTGCTGGAGTAACCAAATAACTGTGCTGACCACAACCTGGCATAGAATGCTCAGCTACTTTGTCTTATTTTTGAATCAACTAAGCTTTTCATTAAGTATGTGTACATGGACATTTTTATCACATGGAGTTTCATAATTAAAGTTTTTGTAACATATCTATATATGTACAAATAGATGAATATTTGAATATATGACAATCTTAGAACTCATTAGTGACAATATTTTGGCTTGGGATATTTTGAAAAGTCTTATGTCTAAGCTACTTTCCTCTAACCCTGGCAACACTTAGCAGCGCTGAAGGGAAATTACAAGTTAGCACATTAGCTAACGCTAATTTCCTTTACTTTCTTGGATTAAAAGAAATTGTTTTTACTTGAAAATTGTTGTTGAAGTTTTAAATTCAATTGTGTGCCAGCCTTGTAAAGCAGGATATAGCAACTACATACTTAAGATATGTGTATTAAATATGTATCTTACTGATCTGAAAATAGGCATGTGTAGAAAGTGGTAATTAATTAACTCTTGATACTACACAGGTACATCAGATAATTAATTGCAAAGTTAGACATATTCTCTAATTGAAAAGCAAGTTTTTTCCAATAAGTTAATCAGAAAACTTTCCACACACACACAAAAGAACTGTTCTCTACATAAATGTGGACATTCTATACAACATATATTAAATATGTTAGGCATATATAAAAAGAAAACAATAAGCTTATAAGGTTTATTTTATGTATCTTACTTTCTGTTATCTAGGACATCAAATGCCTGATAATGTCTTCATGCATAAAATGTATTGAGATGAGAGTATTGCGTTTAACTTGTAAAACCATTGTTTTATGACAGTTTAAAGTAAAGGAGAATTATTTTTACCTCCCAGTCCTGGTCTAAGCCGATTATCGTAACCATCCAGAAGTCTGTCTAGAATTCTTGTAAAGATGGTAATATTATTTTTAGCCTCATCTTCTTGGATGTTAGCCAGAACCAACCTAAACAGATAATTTTACAAATTGGTATATATTATATATGTACATACGGTGTTTGGCTAAATGCCAAAATGCTCTTCTGACTTGATCCAAATTTGAGGTCCCTTTGGCCATTAGCAATACACACCTCTTTCTTTTTTTCACCCTATAATAGCATTAAACTTATGGGGGCAAAAAATACAATGTTTAAAATGGACAGTAATTATCACGATATCAGAAGTATAATGATAACTCTTTTGATAGGTCTGCTGCTTATCATTCTGTATGAGCTGTTGTCTTAAAATCAATTGCAGAGAACATACCAAGATTATAGATTCTCATGTGCACATATGATTGGCAAAATGTTTTACAGTTAGAGTGTAATAACTACAGAGACTTCTAACGTGTTTCTTGAGTGTTGTGAACATTAATTGGAAAATAAGCTGATATCTTGGTGGCACAAATTCATCTATCATTCTTATACATAGCATTATTTTTCTATGTTTTAGGCGTTTTTTAGACTAAGACCATTTCCTGACTTGGGGTATATCTCCACCCAATGGCCAATTGTAATATAGACATCAGGGAAACTCCACTGGTAAGCTGCCAGGATCCAGTGTTGCCAAGAGATGGAGGTGGGCTCTGAAGGCAGCAGCAATACACAGCCTCTCAGAGTCTTGGAAGGCTAGGTCCTCGGAGTGGTCTCAGAAGTGTAGTATGGGCCTACGTAACGATAAAAGTCATGTTTTCCTTGTTGATAAATTTGTGGCAAGAAATGGTCTGAAAACATCCCTTGCAAAGCTTTTGAAGCAGTGATTTTTCTCCAGGATTTCTCCATCATAAAGCCAGAGATCTGATTTTGTGACAGCAATTTGGTACCACCGAAACTAAATATATAAAACAGAGTGTTCCTTTTCATAGCCATCTTTCCCCAGAATGATTCAGAGATTTAAATTACTGTTCCCCCAAAAAGAATCATTTATATAATAGAATAAAATACTGCCATGAACATTATTGGTCAAATATAGAACAGAAAATGAGTAGAGTGATATTTAGGTAAGTTGTCAGTGGTAGTTCTCAGTGGCTATTAATTGATAAGATATTGTCTATGCTTTGAAAGTCAAAGATCAGGTGTACTTACATTCTTTTCAATGTATATCATATAAAAACATCATTGACAGATACGGTTTACATTGAAATGAATGCAGAAACAGTAGCTAACAATACTCATAAACCATCAAAACTGGCAACAAACGTCAAGCTAACATTTTGAAAACCAGAATGAATATTAAATGAGAAGAAGAAGAAGAAGAAGAACACCTTCAAATTATGTAAGTAAATCAGTTCATGCACTCTACCATAAAAACTTTCTCTTTGCCTACTTTAAGCTAATTTCAAAACCCCTCACTTGGATAGTCACACAAGTCTGAGATTTTCACGCAGAGGTGTTTTTCAGCCATAGTTTATATTCTCTTTCTAAATTTAATATTTATAGTGAGTATTTCCCAATTAAATTGAGTATTTCCAAATAAACTTCTTTTTAGTTCCAAAATATCTTTTCGCACTTTGAAGATTATTTGGTCAAAACTCTTAACGGGAATGATAAAATGCTATATAATATTTATTAAGAAGTAATGAGTATAGGAGAATTCCTCCAAAATTTGTATTTTAATTATTCTAGGATTTAAAAACATTTCCTAATGCATTAAATGAAATATACCTACTGTTTATTTTTAAATCAGAAAAGACTACTATTAATATGAAATTGTTTAAATCAATCAAATTAACCACACATTTGAAATAAGAACTCTTTTGTCGCTAACCATTTGAAAAGCAAAATATCTCTAAATTAATAAGATGAAAAGTTGGTTCCTACATCAAGCTTTTGTTTTATTGTTTGTGATTGTCAAGTTGTATGCTACCTCCACCTAGAGGTTTGAGGCTCACATGTCATTTGGGTTTTCTATGTTGTTTATAGATGCCTCAATGATGGAAAAAAAACGCAAAGGGAGATACAGAAAGAAAAGGAAAATCCTAAGTGGCCACTTAAATCATTTAGCTGATATTTTTCTGTCAGCACCGAGGAGAATTTGACCTCCTCGCCTGATTTGGATATTACTATAACTACATGTACCTTAACTGCAGGCATCCTTTGGACTAATATATTTCTCATAGGGTAGTCTCTTCTTCAGTCAAATGTCTCATATAGAAAATGTGCCTGTTCCCTTTTGCTTCTAATTGCTTTAGGAAAAAAAAAAGATCAGCAAAGTTTTCAGAGTTTCAAACATTTACTGGGTCAATTTCCTCTACAATACATTTCCATTAGAAATAATTCTTCCAAACACCTCCACTCTAAAAGATCACAGACACACTTATGGCATTTAATAAACACGGCTATACCTGAAATGAAGACATCAAACACAGCATCTTACCTGACTGGGTCCCACACCAGGAAAAAAAGCAGCAGAGACCATACACTGCAGGTATTCAGTTTTGTCCTCATCTTCCTTGTTTGCGAAGCTAAAGAAGAAAAAAAATTGTTTTCAGTCCTACCATGCAAGTAACCCAAAAGAATGTCATTTCAGTTGTGGGGGCTGGGGTTGCTACTCCAGTGTACTAGGTGTATATGTGTAGGACTAGATGCCTGGAGGAGGTTTGTTTTTTTTTTAATGGCAAGATGACGCTACTAATCATCACCCGCCCCCCGCCCTGCCACTTAACTTCCCCCAGCCCCATCCTCTGCAAACACTTAGCTTTACACACATGAAACCAGAACACCCGAGACTCTAAACTGACACATGCTCTTACGAGGGAATAGATTGAAGGAGTGAGTGGAAAAGAGGTGGAGAGATAGATACTCCATACCTCGCCCTCTCAGTGAAGACCACCTCCGCAAGACGACAGGAAAAGCTAGCAGCAAGCAGCCTACTTTTCAATGTCTGTCATTTCCTTACAAAGAATTGCAGTCTTTGCTTCTTCACTTTCCCCCACCACGATACCCCCTACTCCCGCGCGCCGAAAAAAAAAAAAAAACAGGAAATCAAATCCAAATTATTCTCCCTGCCCATCCACATTTGCCCACGTCCACGTTCAGGAGGAAGCAGGGTGGGAATTAAGTGCTGCGAACTAAGCCTTTGACAGCTGCTCTAGAGCCAAGAGCCAGAGGCTTCAAGACCAAACACCAAACAGCAGGCAGGCAGCGCAACCACCGTGTGCAAAGTTGGGGACTGTAAAAGAGCCGGGCCAACGTGCCTGCCACCGGACTGGCTCCTGGATTTTTATTGTAGTTGCAAATACGCCTGTGGGGAGGGACATTGGAATTAGATTTTGGAAGCTGGAGGACAGAAGAGAAGCTGAACCCCTGTTTCGATGGAGCATGAAGAGTGGAGTGGGTTGGGGGGGGCGGGAAGCATGCTGGCGAAGCAGAGGAAAATGGGCAAAGGTCGCCCGCTGCCACCAACGTCTGCGACCCTACCTGAACAGCAAGCAGAAGTAGATGTTTCTCTTCCAGTGTCTCTGATTCTGAAGAAATGGAAAAACTTGAGAGAGAGAGAGAGAGAGAGAGAGAGAGAGAGAGAGAGAGAGAGAGAGAGAGAGAGAGAGAGAGAGAGAGAGAGAGAGAGAGAGAGAGAGAGAGAGAGAGAGAGATTGCAGCAGCCTAAAGAGCAGGCAGCAAAGGGATGGGTTGGTGGAAGCTGGAGCAGAGCAAGCGCGAGGAGCCGCGGCCGCGCGAAGAGTAGGTGGCGAAGGCGTCCGTAGTGGTGGTGATGGGCGGAGGAGAAGGAAGAGGAGGAGGGAGTAGCTATGGCAGGAGCCGGGGGTGGGGGCGCGGAGGCACGATGCGCGCAGGCAGCGGCGGGCACGAGCCCAGTGCCTGGAGAAGGAGGAGCTAGCCTGAGAAGGAGGGCTAATGAGGTTCCTAGGAATAGGAGACCCCCAACCCCCAATCCTGGTCAAGCCACCGCTGCCCTCTGGGCACCTGGGGCAGCGCAGCTGGAGAGGCGCGGGGCGTCCCAGTGAGCCCCGGAGAGCCGCTGCCCGCGCCCACACCGCGCTGGAGGAGCAAAGCCCACGCCCCGCCTGGAGCTGCTCTCCGAAGGCCACGAGCTTCCTGATGTGAGGGTTAGGGGGGCGCTGCTGGTGTGTGTGGGTGAGGATCCCAGAATGGTACGTGTCTGTGAGGCCCTAGGTCCCGCGGACCGTTCCCTGCCGCTGGTCCTTGGACTTCATCCCCGGTGGAGCAATGTGGCTGCCTGGAAGAGGTAACGATGTATGGCTCCCACTGGAGGGCGAAGGGGCTAATCACGCCTTTACTTAGTCATCAGCGCATCCACGCAGGACCAAGTTAAATGCACGTTATGTGGAATTACACAGCAGGAAGTTTCTTTGATTTCCTTAGCCTTCTGAATGTACCACTCATTCCTCCGCACTCCAGCAATCAGGACCAATTTCCCCTCAAGCTAAGAGGGTTGGAGGCTGCCCAGATCTGGTCAGTGAAGGCCCTGTACCCACCTTACACTTTAGGAAACCTCCTGTCTACTTTCAGTAATAGTTTTTCCCTAATCTCTTTGCCAGGCATTCTCTTTACCTGGTGATCAAGACTCAATCTAAGAGCTATAAAAAGTTTACATTAGCCTGGAGCAAAGGGACCTGCTGCAGCCTCCTTTCCAGCACCTTCCACAGACAGAAGCGAGATGGAGCAGTTTGAGGTTTCCCCCTTTAGGGCTTTTTCTTGACAGAGATTTGTAATTCCAATCCCATCATATGCTTTGAGCATTCAGGGTTTGATCTTTCTGATTTTTCTACTGTTTTATCTGAGGCCATAAAATCCAGCCATGCAACTTGAACAGGAAAAGAAAAAGGAAAGGGAAAGAATTGAAAAAGAAAAGTGTTTTCTCATTCTTTTCCCTCCTTCTGTACTGCACACTAGACTACATTCTACTCAGACAAATCAGAGCTGGTATTTATCGTTCCAAAAGTTGTTACTAACCTGAGACACTATAGAAAGGGGGAGAGTTTAATATTTTACATTTAGTTGTTTTACATTCAGAGTCGGTATGTGCCAAATACTTCAATTTTGGTAGTTGGGCACCAAAATATTTTTTTTCCTTAGATGTTGCAGTTTTGCTAATAGGTAGTGCTAATCTACAGTAAATACTAGCTTGGCTTTGAAGATTACGGGGGAAGAAGAAAATCTTAAATTGGAAATATTTTAGGCTGTTCATTTTAAGATATAAGCCACCATTCTGCCAATGAGAATTCAGTGTTATAACCTAAACAAGCACTGGCTCTTATTTAGCTGGCTCTGTGAAGAAAGGAGCAGCATGTAGCCTCCTCCTCCTCCACCATTAATATTCCTTCCCTGACTTGCCCATTGCGTAGTCTAATTGAAATTCACAAAGATAAAAAGCATGCCATTTAAAACCTTGCAAGCAGGGAACCTAGAGTCTTCTACTTGGTGAGAACACTTTACTTCCCAATGCATCTTCCTTTTCTGCTCCCATGTGTCAGCTACTGTTAGGAACCCTCTCACTAAATCACCACTAAACTATCTATGTTTTGGCCAATGCAACCATATTGGCCACTACCCCTACAAAATTTCTCTTTCATGACCCTCAAAATTTCTGTACATATGTTCACATTCTGTTCTGATGCATTCTTACTACTATTTTTCTCTTTTTCTGATACTGAAGAAACTAGATTCTGGTTGTAATTGTTTGCTTCCATTTTAAAACTTCTATGAATTGAAGTTATTTGTTTAAAAATCAGTTTTGTCTGTAACACTGTGATTAAATTTGTAATCTCACTGACTTACGATCTACATTTGAAAACTTGATGAAGTTCAAGCATGCTGTCTGGAATGATATTTTTTCACCACCATTTAGTTTCTTTGAAAGTATATGTTGAAACAGTTCAAAGATTTAGATACACATTTACTGAACCTAGAGTATAATCAGATTTTTAAAAATCATCAAACTCTGATTTTTATTGCCCCTCCCAGAAAATGATTTTCAATGGTGTTGAATATCTATGATTTAAACTTCAACAGGCATTAAAGGAATTGGGAATCAGAAATGCTGATGACTGAAAGCAGTTATCTACCTCAAAGCAGTATCCATACAGCATTGGGCTGCGGTACTGGGATTGTCTAATATCTTCAAAGGTCTGAATGCAGTCTGGTTTTCCTCTTAGCTCTCTGTGGAACAGAGTGAGTTAACTGCCTGAACTTGGAGAGCCTGGCCTGGTGTTGGTGACTAAGCTTTTTCTACCTGCTTCCCTTGGAACATGTCCTGGAGAAGATGACCCTGAAAACTGATAGCTAATTGGTTGCCAGTAAATCCATCCCATCCATGCTTGGCCAGTGCAGAAACCTCTTGTGTTGAGCCCATTTGATTTACTCATCCAAATTGGATTGGAGCAAGAGGAACATTGCCTCTCTAGGATCCAAGGCCATATGATTTCCAAGACTAAAAGAAAGCAGAAAAATTTGTAGACCTTTTATTTCTGTTGTATTTTTCTTATATCTCATAACACTGTGTAACTTTTTAAAATATGGTTAAAAACTGTTGCTTTCATTTCTACAGATGAATTGTTTCTGCTTTTCCAACACCTCTGTGCGCCTACAGGAAGTCATAACACTTGAAAATTTCTTATAGTAAGCAAATGGTATATAGTTAAGAGTATATTGTAGGTGATTCTTTTTACAGTATAGGGCAGCTAGTATAGAGACAACTGGTCAACCTTCAGAGCATAAAAGACTGTGGAATTATCAACTCTAAATAAGTCAGCTACATCACACCACTCCTTTTAAGTGTCAGGGGCCATAACAGAAAAGAGAGTTGAACAACTGTAAGAGACAGAGGCAGTAGAAATCTGTTAGACAGGACAAGGTCATTGCACACATGGACTCATAAGAGCTGTGACTGAATGTACAAGACCTGCACAAGATCAAACTAGACAAATGCTAGCAAATGATCATGAAGTCCCTGCCCACACTGAAAAACTACGGGCAACTGATGGCTGCCTGGGGGAGAGAGTAAGTTTTCTTCAGGGATGAGGCCAAAAGACCACCCATGCTCCAAAAGATAACCCTACAACCAAGTTCATATAGACAAGAACTAAGTGGATTTAGTGGGTTAAAAAAATGAGCATATGAAGTTAGGAGGTGAAATTGTTCAGAGAGATTGTGCAGGAATTCGAGGGTGGGGAAAAGGGAGTGGATTTGATCAAAATATATTGCATGCATGTATAAAATTCCTAAACAACTATTCAAAGTTTATAAAAAGATAATATATGATTGTTAAAACAATATGTGTATAATAAAAAGCTATGTTAAATAACTGATTAAGTAAAATAAATGAGAACACTTTAATAGCATTTCTACAAATCTTGCTTAGTTTTCCATTTGATCTTCTGTAGTTTAAAATGATAAACCAGAATTACTTATTAAGACTAGCATCTCACCATATGTAAAACATTAAGTGTATCAGTGTAAAATAATATTTTATTCAAATGAGGATATATGGACTGGTGAAATGGCTCATCCAGTAATGGCAACATCCTGCTGCTAAGCCTGAGGACTTGAGTGTGATTCTCCAGGATCAGATGGTAAAAAGAGACAACCAACTCCTCCCTATGTCTATCATGACATGACCCCTTCCCCAAAATAAGTAGTAAACATTTCTTCAAAATAAATAAAAATACCCACAAAAACACCAAAAGAGAATGCAAGTCAGAACCCAAAGTATACAACCTTGTTTACAAAATTAAATACAAGAATACCTTAATAATTCCCCAATATGGTATGAATGTAAGTCTTATTTTCTCATATTCATCAAGTTAGAAAAACAAAAACAGAGAAATGAAAAGAGAACTGGAGCAAACACCCATTTGGCAATTCTCAAGTCAAAATTGTAGCTTGATCAAATTCTATTTTCCTTGAAAGCTGTATTTAGATGGATGGTTAGACTCCCAGATTCGGAAAGAAAAACAGCTGTAAAGTGGGTGTAACTAGTCTTATAAAGAAATAAACTCTAAGCTACTCTCTTATAGTAATGTATCTAGGTCACCTTTCATTAGAGCTAAATGTATCCTGGTATACTAGCTGAATTAAGCTACACACATTACTTGATTCAAAGGAGTCAGTAAATATTTATAAAGTAGTTTTACAAATTCTTATTCAGCTTGCAAATTGGATATATCAAGCATTGTGTACACCGTTAGTTTCTGGTGTTTTTAAGGCTGACTCTTTATACAATGACACACATTCATACTAGTTTGTAATAAATTTATTGCTGCCTTTCAGTGAAATTATCAATAGATTTTTTCTGTTTATTCAACTGTTCCTAAAGAACAAATGGAACTTCAATATCTCAGCCCAAAATAAATACTCCTAGAAAATTGCACTATGAATTTTGTTCAATGACATGCTTCTATATCACCAACTATCCCCAACAGTGTTTGCCTGAAAATGTCCTGTAAATACTAATGAAAATAATGAACTTCAGCAATTCCATTCATACAACAATTTATTTTCTAAATACCTTATATATATTTATGTATATGTAATCATCAAAGGTGAGTGTTAGTTTTTTTATTTCCATTTCACTGATGAGAAAACAATGAGTTTTAATTATGAATTAATAGAAAGAACCTATACATATATTGTGAAGAAAAATGCAAAAAATCATATTATGACTATTTCATGGTCAATCAGCTACATGAGACAGAAAATAGGAATCAATTATTTCTAAGAAAAAAGTGAATAATAGACCATTGTCCTTGGAGACTCATTGTATTAGCCAGAGTGATTTGCTCACAGATGCTCTTCAATAATTGCTAACCTTTGAAGATTTAAATCCTTTGGAAGGCTTGATTGCAGAAGTAAAGATGACATGGTCTTGGATGGTCTCAGTTGTAATATATGCTAGTAGCTTCCCAATTTCCATTCCAAAAGGTCATTGAACATCACTGCTTAGACATTGGTTCTTTTTTCAAAAGGTTCGAATTTTGGTGTTGTCTAAATCTGCATCCTGAAAAGTAGACTCATGCTTTCTCAACACCCCATTAGTACCACATAAACACACTGACAGTTGATGAGGAATTGTTGATCACTGTTGAAATCAGTTGAAGCCTATCTTCATTACCAATTCCTTAAACTTCACTATTCCATACCAATTAGCAGTAGCCCACCGCCGAGCTTCTCTCCTTCCTTGACAGCTTTCTCTGATTTATCTTCCTAAAGCCAAACAGCCATTGAGTGCCATTCATTCCTTAGAATCAGTCCAAGTAGACAAAACTTTTTTGAATATCACATTAGACTCTAGCTTCAGTTCTATTTCCCCTGTACTGCTCTTGAGTATTAGTTAATTTTTGTGTCATTGTGATTCAAACCATGAGAAGAAACTTAAAGGAGAGATTTATTTGGGTAGCATTTTACATAGGATCGAATACAGATCAGGCACCAGAGTGACCTCGAGTGATCTAAAGGGATAACACCAATTGGCAAGCTAAGCAATAGTGGAGAGACCACCTCGAATGCCCATTCCTGATAATGAACTTGACGTCTATAACCATCCAGGAGCCTTCATTCTGTGACTGATGGAAGCAGAGGCAAACACACAATTAATCACTGAACTGAACCCAAGGAACCCAGTGACAGAGAGAGGAGTGATGAGCAAATTGGCAAAGAATGGGCTGGCAAAACCAGCAGAGACAGCTGATCTGAACAGGGGAGAGCTCTTGGACCCCAGACCGACAGTGGGGAGGCCAGCATGGGACTGATCTGGACCCCCCCAAATGTGAGTGTCAGCGAGAAGGCCTGGGCAACCTATGGGGCCCTGAGCTGTGGATCAGTGTCTATCCCTGGAATACAAACAGTCTTCGTGTGCCTATAGCACAAAGAGGGATGCTCTCTCAGCCTGGACTCTTAGGGGGAGTGCCTGGACCCTACCCAGAGTAAAATGACAGACTCTAGATATCCGCTATGTGGAAGGATTTGGCAATAGGGTGGGAGGGTGGGGGGAAAGGGGAGTGTGGGAGGAGGGGAGGGAGAGGGAACTGGGATTGACATGTAAAACAAGCTATTTAAATTAAAATAAAAAATGATAAAAAATATATATAAAAAACAAAAAAAGAAAAAAGGATACAGTGCATTGCAGCAGGGAAAACATAGCAACCAGAGTGTTTTTACAGCTGTAATAATGTGAGCTTTTTTACATTTGATAGGACCAGGAAGTGGAAAAGGGGGCATTCTGGCACCCAGCTGCTTTTCTCATTTTCCCATTTTGCTCAGTCCAGGAACCAGCCTTAGGGTCAGCGCCTCCCACATTCAGGCTGTATTTTTCCCCTCATGTAATCCTCCCTAGAAAAGCAAATAAATGGCCTCAAAGAAATATCCAGATGAATACCTTATTAATGCCATAGATGTTTACTCAGAACAATTCTATTGACCGGCAAATGTCACACATGTACATGTATATGCCTGCATGTGATTCACACATCACAAAAATCATCATTCTTCCTTCAAGCACCTTCTCTTTCCTATATGCTTAATATCTTCAAAGTTCATTCATTTCTTTTAAATGCTGGTTGTTCCATACCCTCCTGTCTCTTTTTCTCACTACTATACCAATTGGAAACTCACTTCCATGGTCTACCTGATGAATGTTTCATGCTTCAGTCTTAGAAATTATTTGCAAGTTCCAGGTAAAATAGTCATGCTTTTATTCATAACCACACTTTATTTAGGACAGGAAGTTAGCATGGGACCTACACTACTTAATTGAACTTAACTCTTCTATCATATTTTCTGTTGTTATAAAAAGCAAGATAACTCAACAAGCTTTTAAACAACATAAATCATTTCTACATAGATCTAGAGTTTTAAAAGCCTAACACTGGGACTAATGCATCAGTATGTGCTAAGGGGCTACTTTCTGGTTCATAAAAAGTAACTTCTTACCCTGTCCTCACAAAATAAAAAGGATGAACTAAATATTGCTGGTACCCCTTTTATATGGGCCTAATTTCATTCATTTGGGCTGGATTCATTCCCATGACCTGAACACCACACTCAATGACTCCACACTGAATACCTTGGACATTAGTGATTCAGTGTGCTAATTTGAGTGACATGCAAATATTCACACTATAAAAGATGCTTGCTGGCACTTATCTGGTCTTCTTTGTTTTCCCATTGTATTCAGTTCAGACCCAGGCCATAGGATGATACCTCTAACATTCTATTTGTGCCTTTTATTAAAGATAATGTCATTAGAGATCTTTAAAGGTAGGGGTCTTATCTTAGCCATATTTTTCTTCAAGCTGAGCAGATAGAACCAGATATCTCTATGGTTTTCCAGGAAATTCTTGGGGAATAAATGAAATGAATCAATTAAAGGATGTGTGACCTGTGAATTATTGAGAAAGGACAAGGACTCTGATGCTTTCATATATATGTAAACCATCAAACTTCCTTCATAGACAGTGAGAGAAAGAGCTGCGCTGGGAGTACATAACCTTCTAACACCTAGATGAACATGTTGACACTCTTTACTAACCTTGAAGCTTGGGACAAATTCTTTAGCTCCAGCGTCTTAGTTCTCATTCACAAAGAATACTAGCACTTGCAGATCCTTCTTCATTTGGTTGTCATGAGGACTCTGTGGGTTGATATATGTGCACAGAAAATAACTGACTAGTACCCAATGCTATACAGCCCTTGTTGTTACTTCAGAAGTAATGAAAGCTGTTAGATCCCTGCATCTACATTTAGAAAATGGAATTTAGTTTTATTCAGAGCCCTTGACCATATCAAATCTTTTGATTCTATTTTTCCCATGAGTGTGTTCACATCCATTCTGTCTAGCCAAGAGTGAAGCTTCCACTTTCAGAGAGTAATCCATTAGAGCCCAACACACTTCCACACATTTTTCTTTATTTTGAATATACTGTTTTCTTCACTCAATTTTTCTACATTTTTCTCCTTCTTCTGTCCTCATTTAGTACATCATGCCCTCTTTTTGTTCCAGTCATCCTGCATTTCCATCTTCTTTTCATTCTGTAGTAGTTCCTTTTCCTCCTCCTTCCTCATTAGTAACTAAATATAGCATAAGCCTCCACTTGTCTTTGGCATAGGGAAGACCATGTGATTATGATGCATAAAGATAATGTGACCAAGCAAACAGAAATGTGAGTGTGTGCTGCATGTGTACATGTATTACTGTCTACGTTTCTCTTTGTAGGTCCCTACATTAGATCCACTCAAGTAGATTTTACTGATGTATTGTATGGATTATATTGAAAACTCAAGTAACTATTTTCATTTCAATTGGCCATTAATTTACATAAAATAACAAAATTGCCACAAATTTGGA